AAACAGTGATGAAAAATGTGCTTGCCTTCCCAAAGCTGGAAAACTCTCTGTCCCCTTGTTGCCATGGTAACAGCTCCATCCWCATTCCTTCATCACTGCTCCCCATTACCTCTCTCCATCACTGTCTCACAGCAATCATTGTCTTTTCCTATCCCTGCGCYGAAGCAAGGAGAAAAAATTCTTAGAAACTGAAGGAGCAGCCACAAGCACAGAGGGGCAGGTTCATTCTGGGTAGAAAACCACCACAGTGATCAGCCCTGAGGACAGGATRGTCAGAAAATTAAGAACAAAACGTTGATTTGAAAGTGCAGCTCTGATTCTCATCCAGCAATACGCTGCATTATTTGTATGTTCATGGTCTACAGATCATTCTGGGGCACAGCTGCTTCTGCTCATGGCCCTGAAATTTGGGGTTGTTGGAAAGTGATTGTCTGGGATGTCTCTGCCTGGTTGGCCACCTGGCCAAACTGAAGGGTTTGTGGCAGAGAACAGCTTGGCCCAGGACTGGAGAATTGATGGTGAAGGGGGTTAGGATGAAATGCCCCTTCCCAGAGACTCAAAGTGATGTGAAATAATTCAGTGAAACAGGCTCGAGCCGTGTGTTGAACCTTCAGTTTATATCTGCTGCTCTCCCTGTGGTGTGCTTTATCTCACCCCAATTACTGTGTGCCTGTTCCCTGAGGGACAGGAATTTCACAGGGCTCTGATTCTCCTGGTACCACTCTGTGCCTCTGCTTTTGGTGTACCTGGCTAGAAGAGAAGTGTTTTTGGTGTGCTCTAAACCCACATGGCCCATGCAAATCAAGTGTGGGCCGTGTCTTATTTTGATGCAAAGATTACCCCACATAATTACCAAGTTCTCTACGTTTCCTACCTTCAATTGGAAAYGCTGAACATGATCTGTTCAAAGTGGATAATTACAGTACTTGTAGCTCAAACCCACTTGTCGGTGTCTTTGGGGAGAGAAGGAGGGTTGTTCTCATTCCTGACGTGAACATTTTGCCCTCATGGCACGAGTCAAGGCTGGAGCTGTCATGGGATGCCAAATCTCTGGGCTGTACTCGTGTTTATCCTGACAATGTGACAATTCTTGGGAAGTTCCCCAGCCCAGCCTGGTGTAACCCATCCCCAGAGCTGCACAGGTGAGTGGGAATTCACCGTCAGAAAATCTCAGGGAAACGGGTTTATAGCCTGTTTTCACTTTAGGGTTAGCTGAAATGATCTGCACTGTCTGGCACTTTTCTGGGGTTCCATAAAACTGCACTAAAACTGTTTCCCCAAAGTAGAGGCTTCCTAAATGCAGCCAGAATAACTGCACAGTGTTACCCCGAGGCTGTTCTCAGCCATGGCAGGGAAGGCTGGCACTGATCGCGCTGTGTGTGTGTTTGGGGTGTGTGTGGGGTGTGTGGGGAACAGCAGCGCTGCTTTTGGGATGTGGGAACGGGGATCTGGGGAGTCGCGCTGGGTTCGTTCTGCTCCGGGATGTCCGGGAGGTCCGGGATACCCAGGGATGTCCGGGATGTCGGGAATGTTCAGGATGTCTGGGGATGTTCAGGATACCCGGGATCTTCGGGATGCCCGGGGATGTCCGGGGATGTTCAGGATGCCCGGGGATGTTCGGGATGCCCAGGGATGCCCGGGATGTTCAGGATGCCCAGGATGCCCGGGATGTCCGGGGTGCCCAGAATGCCCAGGAATGCCCAGGAATTCCCAAAATGCCCAGGAATGCCCAGAATTGTCCGGATTCCGGCAGGTGGCGGTGGCGGAGCGAGAGCCGAGGGAATTGCGCTCCTGGGGATCCGCTGTCCCCGTCTCTGTCACTGTCCCTGTCCCCTCCCCTTCTCCCTCTCCAAAACTCCCGAATGCACCCAGCAGCACAATTCTATAAATGTGTGAGTTGTTCCTTTTTGTTAATATATCTGCGTTAAATCACTGCAGCCCTGGAGCAAACTCTCCTCTCTCCGCTCTCAGGAGTGTGAGAAAAAGGAAACACGAGGGTGTCAAACTCCCTAACGATGTGACAGGACAATTCTGTGACTGAAATGCCTGAAATGCTCATCCAGACCCCTCTCTCTGACCATCCCATCCCTCTTCAATCGTACAGCACATTGAGTTTCTGACCTCCAAGCCAGACCTTTTGATTTAAACCAATTTAACCCCAAAAATTGGGTTTTTTTAACAGTCAGTACTTTAGTTTTGTGTTTGTGTTAATCTCTTTTAATGTATTGTTGTTATGCCAATGCCAGCTGAAAGAAATTCCAGGGAAATTAAGCTACGATTAATCTGTTGTAAAGAGGAAAAGAATGATTACAGTTCTCATTAGGATTGATTTCTTTTTTTCTCCTGTTCACCTGAGCATCTAGAAATGATTGTCAACCCTGAACAATGTTTTTCTTCCTCAGGATTTAAGAAAAGATCTTAATGAGATTAATTTCATTGAGCAAGGTGCTCAAAGCTCGTCTTTTAAGGCMGAATAAGCTGGCATTGAATAAAAAGACAAATCAGCATTTCTTGGGGATGGTTCCAGTTTATCCCTTTTTTTTCTATTAAACTTTGTTACGCTTCACCCTTTTTTTGGGGGGGTGCGGGGTGTTGTTTTTTTGGGGTTTTTCTAACTGGGAGTGTTGCTTCTGCTGCTCCATCTTGATAACCAAATCATCTTGMCACTGCAGATTAAAGCAGCCCCACTGCTGGAATGAATTCATATCTCTTTACTTAGTCCTGCCAGTCTTAATTGACAGGGCTCATTTCTGTGCATGAGGGGATTATTCATGGGAGTGGAACATTCAAAATGTTGGTATGCATTTACAGAAACAAGTTTGACTAATAAATATTGATTTTTAAAAGTTTTTAATGGTTTTAAGTAATATTTAGAATGTGTRAGCACGGTTATAATGATGTACTCTTTAAGATTAAACAGATTCACTCCTTGTTTAGACTAAAATAAGAGAAAATGTGTTTGACTTAGCAAAGCTTGAGGAAGTGATTGCATTTCAGACATTTGGGGCTTTTGATTCTCCTTGTGACACTTTTAAATTTTTGTCCCAGGAAAATATTCAGTGACTGACTCGGGTTTGCCAGATGCTTCATGTGAGATTTGCAGCTCCTGTCGTGTCMGGGCACAGCAGCTGAGTCTGCCCCTTGTCAGACTCGGCCTCTTGTCTTGACACCACATCTGAGAGTGGCTGGAATAGAAATGAGAACATCATTTGCTGAGATGGCACATGTTTTCATTAAAATGTAATCTTGCACCTTATAATAGGATAGATAGCAGTTCCAGGATTCAGCCTTGTATACAGTGGCTTGACGCGGTGAAAATTAATTTTTTTTCATTATCTTGAATGGTAAACCCATCTGCCAGATACAGAGTGGAGCTGAACATYGCTTGCTCTATTTTTCCATAAGAAAACTAATTAAAAGATTATAGCTTATGTGTTTAATAGTTGTTCAAAACATCCTGGTGGCACTGCTCGGATTTCATCAGGTGCAAGCAGCAAAGGGAAAGCACAGACACTTCCCTCTCTTTGGGATTCATCTCATCTTTTCCTCTTCCTCATCTTCATCCCACGATATCCAGTGAGGGTTTCTGTGTGTGGATGAATCTCAGGGTGAACTGAGAGGCAAATAAACCCCAATATCAGCAGGACCAAGGTGCCAAGGACTCGTGTTTGATGTGCAAAGGGAACTGACTCCAGTGTGCATGACAGAGACAGTCCGGGTGCACTGCAGTGCTCAGATTGACCAGGCATTGTTCCCTTGTTTCTGAGATATTTGTAAATGAAATCCTCTTAATCCTTTCTGTCAGCTGCAAGCCACACTGTCCAGCTGGACTGGGAGTTTCCACCACAGCAAACTGAACTTTGTTAAACCATTGTAGTGCCAGTGAACATCAGCCCCAGAGAGGTTGAACATGGGGAATCAACATAAAGGGTTTTATTTTGTGTTTTGTTACCTCCTCATGGTGAGGACAGGCTGACAGCCTCCTCAGGTGTGCTGCATGTGCACTCCTGTTTATTCACAAGAAAAAGAGTTCATTGTCAGCTGAAGGAGTTAATAATTCACTGGAATCTGTCAGTGTGTTCATTCAATTCCGTGTTGAACCTGAGTCCAAACAAACCCCCTGCCATGAAGGGCAGATTTCAGCAAAAAATGGTGAAATGGGAGGCCCTGGAAATGTCCCTGTCCTGGGGATGCAGTGACAGTGGGGCTGGGGATGTCCCCATGGCTTCTCTCAGTGCTGCAATCCTCACTGCATTTCCCCATTTTTCCCCCTGCTTACATAATGAACCGACTTATTAGCATTAACCATTTGGAAACAGAGATTTTGAGCACCGGTTTCTGAAATGAAATTTTAGTAAGTGTTMTCCCTTCACTAATTGGGTAAGAAAAGCTTTCAGATTTTCAGAATTAGTTCTGCTTTATCTGTTCCTTGCAGRAAGAAATTACTGCTGTGCAGCACTTTCACCTGTTTCACTTCTTTAACAGTGAGGGGTGGTTAAGGGACCTCAGGTAACTCAAATGTGAGGCACATTTGTGACTCTGTGTATTAGGTACAGTATTTTTCTAACTGGAATTAAATTATATCTCAATTTCTGCGGTTTTTACTGCTTGATCATAAAAAAATCATGAGCTGTGCCTTGCTGCCCSTTTGGGCACAGCCCCTGGCTTCAATGACTCCTTTTGAAGTTCACCCAGGAATGCTCTTTGCAGTGTTGGACCCTTCTTTCTGGGAGCAGTTAATCTTTGAAAAYAATGGGGCTGTTTTAGGGTAAATTGGAGAGCCATCAGTTACAATCCTGCTGCAGACCTGGTTCAGAAAGAATAATTTATCTCTTGATCTGTTTGCCATGGCATCCACACCTTTCTAAAGAAAAACCCTTTTATTAATAAGAAAGCCATTGTTCAGGCAAAATTGACAATATTTTAGGAACCCACAAGAACAGATCTCAGTAAAAGGAAAAAAAATAAAAACAGTTCAATTGGCTACAGAAAAGAAGTCACACATAACAAGCCATGGATACTGAATCCTTTACTTTTATTTTTTATCCAGCTCTGTGTTCACTTGAGATGATTCATTCTTCCAGTGAGCTCCTTCCAGGAAAGATTCCCCACAATCCTCAGAACATTTCTCTTCCTCTGTACTATTAAAGTTCCTTCTCTGTTATTACAGTTTCTTTTTGGCTGAGATCCTCTTTGATTCTTCCCAAAGGATCCTTTTAAAAAAAGGAAATGCAAAAGGAGAATTGCTTATTACAGATGTTCACAGAGACAATTGCCCTGGTAATTCTTAAAAAAACATTTTAAGATTAGTTGAAATGCAGATATTCATCTTTTCACCCAAGAAACTTGAGTCCTGCTAATGAGGTCAGAAATGGCTCAGCTGCTGCTCAAATGTGCTTTGTTTTCAAACCTTTTSCCTGGTTTATAGCAAAGCTGAGATGCAGCTTTGTGTGAAGATTCAATGAAAGTTTAGAATACCACGTGTGCTGATGGGCACAGGGCTCTCTTCCTTTGCTGTATTTTTCTTGTTCGTGTGTTTGTGAGTGCCCTGTGCTGAGGATGCAGAATTATTTCAACAGGGAATTTTGTGTCAAGCACTGCACTGCAAACGGCCAAATTCTGCAACCTTCTGGAAAATTTGGTCAGTGTCAGGTAAGGGTGGAGAAGGTGAAGAGATGAGAAAACACCCATTGCTGACCCCTCGTGCTACACAGAGCCTGCTTTTGAATGGCATTTCCCATAAAAAKCTGGCTCTTTTACTTATTGTTTGATGAGAAACAAAGCGTGAAGAAGAGACAACAGAACAGACAGAGCTCAAACATTGTGTGTGGAACTGCCCAGACCTGCAGAACACAGCAGAGGAGCAGCAGGAGCAGAGAGCAGGGGCAGGCTCTGGGTGCTGGGAGCAGAAATAATGGGCAGGGCTGGGGATGGGGCTGGGACTGACCCTGCACTGACCCTACACTGATCCTGACCCTGACCCTACACTGACCCTACACTGACCCTGACCCTACACTGACCCTACACTGACCCTACACTGACCCTGACCCTACACTGACCCTGCACTGACCCTACACTGACCCTGCACTGACCCCCTGTGCCCCTCTGAGCTCCTCTGAGCATCTCTCTCCATCAGTGACTGCTCACACAAACCCTGAACGCAGGAGAAAATCACAGCCTGCCTTTGGAGACAAGTGCAAATCAGAATGCAAACTCCTTCTCCACCCACAAACAGTTCTGCTGCTGAAATGAGTGTTCATGGCTGCTGTTCCTGTGGCTCCTCTCCAGGGCAGGGAGGGCCCAGGATTCTCCTGTGGTGCAGTGTCTCTGTTTATGTCGGGATTTTTCATTGCTGCAGTTCTCAGTGTGGAGATTGAGCACTGTTCACTCACCCCTGTCCTTGTGCACTGAAATGTCTGTGGTAAAGAACACCCAGGAGTGGGACAGCAAACATTTATCTGCTCTTGTGACAGATTTGAGCGTTTGAGGAGTGGCCAATGATCACAAGGAGATTGCTCAGAGAACGAGCATCACCTGCTCCTTTGCTGTGATGTGATGTGATGATGTGATGAAGAGCAGCTGGGTGAGCTGGGCACAGGGATTAAAGCCACTGAGATGCAGCTGGGACTGCCTGAGCTGGGCACAGGGATTAAAGGCACTGAGATGCAGCTGGGTGAGCTGGGCACAGGGATTAAAGGCACTGAGATGCAGCTGGGTGAGCTGGGCACAGGGATTAAAGGCACTGAGATGCAGCTGGCCCTGCTTGAGCTGGGCTTTTCCCTTTTGCAGCTCCAGTCGTGCCCAAGGGTTGCTCCCAGCCCAAGGAGGGGCTCCTTCTGCAGGGACTGAGGATGCCACCAGCGAGGAGAGGGGTTGGTGTGACACAAACCAGGTAAGTGGTGCCAGGCTCTGCTGCTGGGGATGAAACCGGGCAGGAGCTGCCCAAATCAGCCCAGCTCTGACCCAGGACTGGGGCTGTGAGTGTCAGGAGTGTCTCCTGAGCTGGAGCCTGCCTGGGTCACTCACAGTGTGTGCCYCAAATGCATACCTTCTCTCCTGCTTCTGCTAAGGTCTTGATTTGTTCTTCTAAGAACTCAGAAAATGCTTCCAATGTGTATTCCCCAGTGTAGGCCACTTCCTGAAAAAAAAAATTATATTATGTAACTACACAAAACTTGGGAAATAATGGCAAAATCAGGTGGAGGATTTTGGTTCTTTAGGCTGACCAAACTCTAGAGTTTTGTGCT